CCGGATGAAGCTGATCTGCCACTTCCAGAGGCCACAAGCAGTGCCTAAGGACTCTGGTTCTTCTTCTGCACCCGCTTCCACCCACCAGCCCCCTGCAAAACAAGCAGCACTGAAACCCTCCTGCAGCCTCTGGAGGCCTTGGTAGGCCAAGAATACACTTATGTGTTTCCTGGACATTTGCTCGTATTCCAGAGGAGATCGTGACTTGCTATACAAGTCCCACCACTCCTCTCGTGAGTAGGAAAGAATGTTTTCCCTTTGCAGAGCATTACTATGCTTGGATGTCTGCTTCCCTTCTTCCAGAAGGACTGAAACGATCCCACCACGTGGAGAGAAAGTTATTCTAAAAGAATGTGAGATGTAATCCTCCTGCTAGGATGACTGAGAGGAGCTGTTCAGAGAGGAACACCGACTGTTCTTAACCTTAGTGAGGTTGTACGCGTACATCTGTTGAGAAAGCAGTAACTTCTAAGATGCTCAGGCTAGCATTTTCAAGTGTCCGTTCAGGAGGAGCCCTTTCCTCTGACCTGCCCCACTTGAGACTCCCAAGTGTCCCACACTGTCCACAGCTGTACTGCCCAGCTGCAGCTGTAAGGGCCAAGGTGTCTCAAGCAGAGCAGCTAGTCTAACTGGACACATCTGAAAACCTAGCTTTCCTGTGGGTGCCATAACGGGTTCTATAATATTTGTAGACTGTACTGAGCATGCTCTGAAAATGGTTAAACCATAACTCAGACTATGTAGAGGAAATTCCTCAGGATGTCTTGCTCACAAAATCAGAGTACTGTTTGTGAGGTTCAGGATACGTATGCCTTTTATAAAGGCAAAAGCTCATTTTTATATCCTTATAGGAAAGAAAGTTACGGCTGTGTTGTTGATTTTACAAGAATTATTTATCAAAGTCTTTCATGAAAGGCAGGTGTACAAATTATATTTACTCTTTGGTACCCTACCACCAGGGGAGAATGTGAGTTCATTACTGTCCTTAGAGGACGCTACGACATGTTATGTGTGAGCCGCACCAATTGTATAACCTGTGCCAGAAGGGATCTTGAACTTCAGAAGTTGCAGAAACTTCTAACAGTACAAAAATAAATAAAACTAGTTAATAAATCCAGCAAGTTATTCTTTCTTGAGTAGTTCGCACAGCTGATCTCCCCGTGGTCCCTGGGGTTAAAGGACACGAGACAAAGATTTCAGTAAAAGCAAAGATATTCAGAATTGGTATTTAATTGCCTCACCAGTTCTGTGCCCACTTGGGACCCCAGCAATGCCATTTTCCACAGCAGAGAATACACAGCTCCAAAATACCAAACCCCAGCTCTCTCGCTGTCAGACAAAAATAGAGACGTGCCTCACCAACAAATCCTTTGGAAGTTTAGGCCCAAGAGACTTGTCGAGAAAGGCCACAGAAAGGGTGAAGTCAGGAAAATTTATGCCTGGCTGCGGAACACAGAAAATACTTCCCATTAACGGGCGAAGTTTGCCCACGCACTCCGCGCTGCGTTCCGCGCGCTGGGGGCACGCGTCCCAGTCACGCAGCACCCCGAAACGCAGGGAAGCGAACGTCTTGTCCGAAGGGGAGACGTGCAGCTGCTCAGTACGTGGGTGTGCGCGTAACACACGGACACGCGCACACGTACCGGGCACGAGTCAACGCAGCGGAGGGCAAAAGCA